AGTAAAAACACTGATTTCTAGTTAAGGAAATAAATTATAATCTAGAAATTTTAATAACATAATATATATGCTATATATTTTTAACAGATTATGTTACATATATACATTATAAAAACCTCATAAATACCAGTAATATTGTACTTTTATATAAAATATACAGAAGTAATATATAAAAGAATATTTATGAATACACAGTTATAATCTAGCAACTGACAAAAATGGAATTTTTTGGGGGGGGTATCAGGGATCGAACTCAGGACCTTGAGCTTGAGAGGCAGGCGGCAGAACCACTGAGCTAAATCCCCGGGCCCAGAAATGGAGTAATTTTAAAAATTAATCCGAAAAAAGAAAAAAGAAACAAAGAGAAAAACCTCATACTGAACTTGAAGAAAACAGCAAGATGACAAATTTGTATCCAAAAATATTAGCAATTGTAGTAAATGTAAGATACATTAAAATATATTTAAAGGTAAATATTGTTGGACTGAACAAAAAACACTATGTAGTTCTTTGTAAAAAGAAAATTTAAGGACACCGAAAAATTAAAATCACATGTATGGAAAAACATCTCTCATAAATTATTAAATAAATAAAAGCTATTAAAGCTATCCAAGTAACAAATAAAGAAGATTCTAATGAGGAAAAACTGCTACAGAACGATAGAAACAACCCATCAAAAAGATAAAAATACTAAACAAATATACAATCAATTATCCAAATCAACATCCAAAATACCTATAGCAAGGACTGACAAATAAAGTGAAAGTGGAAGGTTTTAACATGACTATCTGGTAACTCAAAACTTAATTCACAAGGGCTGGAGATTTAGCTCAGTGGTGCTGCCATTTGCCTCACAAGTGCAAGGTCCCAAGTCTGATCCCTGGTACCAAAAAAACCCACAAAACTTTAATGCACATACAAAAAGTGGACATAAAGATCACAACAACACTATTAACAAACTTGACTCATTTAATATATACAGATCAGTGCATCCAACTACTGGATACACATTATGTATTATTTTTAAGTACACATGGCACATTCAGTAAATTGACCATAAGTGAGAGCATAAAGTAGAATTCAACAAGTTCTAGTGGCTTAAAACTATAGAAAATATTTTCTAATGACAGTAGAATTAAGATAGATACCAATAACTAGAAAGTCCTAAATTATAAACTTTTAAATAACTAAAAAATAATCCAAGAATCAAAGAAATCATAATTAAATTAGAAAAAAATTTAACTGAATAATAAAATATGGCATATAAAATTTGTAGAATACTTAAAGCCATATTTAGAAACGCTGATGAATGAGAAGGCTAACAATCAGTGATCTGTCATCCAATAAGTTAGAAGATAAAGAAGAAATTAAGTCAAAGAAATGCAGAAGAAAAACAATAATTTTTTTTAAAAAAGGATAGTGCATCACAGCCAATTTGAAATACCATTACACATTGACTTGTGACAATGGTATTTAAAATGATGTTATTGTAAGGGAACATTAAAACCCTTTTACTTCTCTATGGATAAATTTTATCTTTACCTAACTCTGGCTTTTCTCCCAGAGTAGCCAGACTGATTTGGAATGTTGATAATTTGCTAAATTGCTTTGCTTATGGTGAAAATGATCCCTGTAACTGGACTAGGAGCTCTGGGAACAAACTACGAATACATGAAAGGAAACCACAGCTCTAACCAACTGTGAGTGTTGTGGTTCTTAAGTGACACACTTTGTTACACACCTAGAAACTATGCAGATAGTACATGTACTGGAGATCATATTTTCTATCTGAGACATGAAGCTTCTGAGCCAGACCAGCTCTCAGCACCAACAAATATGATTTCATTTTAAGCATGACTGTTGTAGTCATGTGAGTTTTATTATGTACTTAGTCAAAGCTAAAGGCCATGAAGATTGATGGCACAAATACCAAAGGTTGAAGATGTAGGACAGCTCATATTCTTTCACTGCTCATGAGAATGTAAACTGGTACAATCATTTTGTTACACTGTTTGGTAATATCTAGTATACTAAACATAAATACCCTATATCACATCAATTAGACATGTTCAAGAATGTTCTTAGCAGTTGTTTGTCCATGACAGCTCAAACAGGAAAAAAAAGAAGTGTCCAAGTAAAACTGCAATGTATTCTTAGAGAGAATACCACTTAATGTGAAAATGAGCCAACTACTGCTTCATAGAGTAACATTAAAAATCCCTCCAAGTTGAGCAAAAGAAGCCAAATGGAAAAATTTATTCTATTACGTAGTTCAAAAAGCAGCAAAACTAATCTACACTAATAAAAATTAAAACAAGAAGATTACAGAGCCAGGGATTTAGCTCAGTACTGCCACACCTGCCCCTCACAAGTGCAACATCCTGAGTTTGATCCCTGGTACCACAAAAAAAAAAAAAAAAAGATTACATTTCAGAATGGTAGAAGGCGATGAAGAAGCAAGAAAATGACTAGTAGTACTCTATTATAGTTTTCATGTTAGTTCCATGGATGTACTTATTTGGAAAAAAGTACCTGGATTTTATGCTTTATGATTTGTATATATCAACTATTTACTTTTTTTTTTTTTTTTGGTACCAGGGATCGAACTTGGGTCCTTGTGTTTGCAAGACAGGCAGCAGAACCACTGAGCTAAATTCCCGGCCCACTATTTACTTTTTTTACAAGTCTGAATAGAAAACCAAAGGTAATGCATGACATCCAGCATTTTAGTTTTTCTTTGTTTCTTTCATTGGTTTTTTGAGACCCAATATGTAGTTCAGGCTGGCCTTGAACTCATGGTGATCCTCCTGTCTCCCCTTCCCAAATGCTGGGATTACAGGTTTCCACCACCATGCAGGATCTAGTATTTTGAAAGAGTAAATCATGTCTGAATTTTCAAATGGTTGGGGGAGGATAGTAAATACAAACTTAAAAATATATTGAGAGAGGGCCGGGGATTTAGTTCAGTGGTTCCAGTACCTACCTCGGAAGTGCAAGGTCCCAAGTTCGATCCCCAGAACAACAACAACAACAAAAAAATATATATATATATATATATATAGAGAGAGAGAGAGAGAGAGAGAGAGAGAGAGAGAGAGAGAGAGAGAGAGAGAGAGAGAGCAAACAAGTCCATTATGATTTTTTTTAAACATTAAGCCTCTGTCAAAAATGTATTTCTTATTTTAGGATACAAGATTGAAGGAAAAGATGATACTTACAAGTAAAGAAAATTTACAAGAAAAAAACTTGTCAAAAGTATTTCAGTTAAAGTACTATAACATTCAAACTTGACTTAAAACAGAACAAAAGAAACAGGATTGCAAACAAAAACAAAAATAAATGAAATAGTGTTTAGGCAGTAGGGCTCATGATGATGGCTAGCAGGAAGTAACAGAGTGTAATCTACTTGGAAAAAATCTTTAATGTACAAATAACAAGCCCAAGTGATGGACCGCAGAAACTTAATCATCACCGCCATTTTTCTTACTTCCAAAGTAAAGCCTTGATTAAACCATTCATACCTTATATTACTCATACCTTTGCTTCAGAGATTGAGGAACTGTATACAACAAATGAACTTATTTTCACCATAGGGATAACATACTGTACCTCGCTGCCAATGTCACTTGAAAACCTTCCATTGTCAAAACAATATGACAGCAGATATAAACAAATAAATACGCAATGATCTTCCATTAACACTCCTTTAAAGACGCATGTTAATTCATACTGTTAACCTCTGGATCACAGTGCACAGAATCCAAATATAAGCAATTGGGGTGACTTTCAAAGAAAGTAATGCTGAATCCCTTATTTTAATTATAATCCCACTATAAGCAGTAAATTCATCTCATAGGCCCTGTCATGCATTAATCATTGAGTGGCAAGAGTTAATGAAAATTTTTCCTGTTACAACGCCCATTGCCAGCAATGGACGAACCAAAATCTCCAAGGAAATCACTGTTATTGCACAATACATGAGGACCAGGAACTTTTCCAAAAGCTTAAAAAAAATAAAAAATGGAATTATATTTAACCTTTCCTGAAACCTGCATCAATCAATACTGTATGACTAATAAAAGCATGTCAGTTGTGTGGACTGAACCAGCAATCAACATGAGCCCAGAATGCACACGAGTAAAAATGCAGTAAAAGGAAGTAGTCTTCGTTGCCTAAAGGTTAAAGTTCCAAGACTGAATGATCAAAGTGTTCATTTTCTCAGTAGGACAATCTTCTGCTAGGAGGATGATAACAGTGGCATCAACAAGTATCATCATGATACCACCATTTTGTTTTCTTTGGATTCTTGTTGCATGTTCGCACTTAGAAAGAATTATCTCGTGGTCGTCTCTTTTCTTCGCAGCTGGAAAGTATGCTAATAATACTAAGACAAACTGGCTGGAGTGAGAGCGCTGGGGACCAGTCTTCTGTTAGAATGGATAAACAGATATGACCATTGCTATAAACATGAGGATGAATGGGAATATTTTCACCAGTAAACATGACCTGAGGAGAGTCAAAAGAATATCAACTACTAAATTTAAATAGAAGTTGAAATTTTTCTCCTTCATATAAGGTACCTGGTACACCTTCCATGTACCTACAATCCACTGTGTGAGTGAATTCTGAACACTCTTTTCATTTAAAGTCATCCCAGGAGGTGGGTCATTCTGCAAAGCCAGATGGCAACAAGCCCATTATGTTAACAACTGTTAAAAGGTATGCAGATATGCACAGTATATGGTTCTTTCAAGTTTTCTGAGCTATGTGAACAATATTCTGAATTTCTGAATATTTGAACAATATCAAAATAAAAAGTTGGTAGGTAGGGATGTAAACTTACTGAAACCTCAAAATCACAACTGTGAAGGAAATATGAAAACACTTTTAAGTTATATGACTTAAATGCTAAATAAAAGTTGTAACAAATTATAGATTGTGGTTTCCCTTTAGGTAACAATATTATATCCTTCAAGAAAATAGATAAATAAATCCTTTACCTTCTAAAAACTGAAACAGGCAAACTGAAGGCTGATGGTAAAGAAGGTTTACTGGAAGTGTTAACCGACCTATTTCACAAAAGAACAAAAAGAAAAACACAACTGAGTAGACCAAAGCTTTATGTACTTCTTTGACTAAAAGCAAAATTGAGATTGCAAATGGATCTAGTATAATTAATACTTGCACTACCTGGATTTGCCTATGAAGAGTAATTATGCTTTTCTTTTAAAAATTCTGTAAAATACATGATTTACACAACATGGTGGCTGTACTAGCAGCTGGCCTCTGTGTTTCTCTCCCACTGATGCTGCTCAAGATCAATATTAATCAGGTATAATCATCCTTAACATCTTCTTTTTAAAATAACAAGATATAAAAGAAAAAGCACGCCAAATTGAAGGAATGTGCTAAAAATATATTCAAAACAAAAATCACTTCATTAATTTTTAAATTTTGTACTTAATAATGTTCAAAAATAAAATTTTATGGCAACTTTATGAGCCAATATGCTTTTTAATACTGCTTACTCAAACTAAAATTCAAACTACAGTGTTTCCCTGAAAATAAGACCTAGCCAGAAAATAATCAGCCTTGAAAACTACAGATCAAAAATGCCAACACCAATCAACCTATCCTTCCCTTATCTTCCTTACAGAGTAGCCACCAACCAAGAGAACAGTGATGGCAGGTAAGGCAAGGATAGGCTGATTGGGGCTGCCATTTTCAATCTGCAGCCTTCAAGGCTGATTATTTTCTGGCTAAGTCTTATCTTCAGGGAAAAAGGGTACATATATCTAATATGAAAAGCTTCATGAATCAAAATTCCCCATGTACTGGTATAAGACTGCACTGGAAACCTTAGATTCATAAGTAAGAATAAAAAACTTATCAGTTCTTAAATCTCACCACATATCCATTCTTGATACTTCATCAAACAGGAGAAGACAAAACAGTGCTCCAACTTCAGTCACTATAGTAGAATCTTCATGAAATATTAAGGAAACTAAATAGAAAGGAAGATAACTTTATCAAATATTTTTACTGCTAAAGAATGAACTTCAAATTTATGTTTTATTAGTGTATGTTTATAATACATAATTGTTACATTCATTTTGGGGGTATTGGTATATATAGATAAAGACCTGATTATTTAAAAAACATTACAAACATATTAGTAGAAAGCACATTTCCAATCTGGAATTGGAAAAGGCCCTATTTTTAGAGCATGATGAAAAATCTCAGCTGCCCTAATACAAAAGCTTTACATATTTCCATAAGATATATAAGCTTATTTCTGGTTAAAAAATATAATACACTATTATACACTATAATACACTATTATATATAGTGTGTACTATAATAACTATTATAATAAAAATATATAATATATAATAAAAATATAATACACTAACAAGGATGGAAAAATTGAAAGATAACATTAAATAAGCATAAGAGTTTTATCTATGTTACATAAAGGAATCCAACAAGTCACTAAAAAGAAACTAAATATAGGAGGAAAATAGGCAATTCATAGAAAAAAATTGAATCCATAATTTTAAAGATAATAAACTTCTCTAAAAATAAATTTAAAAATATATCATTAATTTTTATCAATAAGAGTAAAGAAAAATTTTAAATTAAAAATATTTAGTGGTGGCAAAGTTGTAAGGAAAGTGAACCATTTTAGTATCATTGGTGAGAATGACTTGGAGAGAAACTTAATCATATTTTATATAACCTATATCCATTAATTCCAATTAGTGTAGACAAAAAGATGATCATATAAATCATATTCTAAAAGTGAAAAATCTGAAGCAAATGTCCAGTAATAATGCAAACTGAAACTCTGAAACACGCTATAGTAGTTTTGCAGGTTTTTAAGAAAGTAGATTCATATATAATAATATGGAAAGATATGCAAGATCATTTTCAATTGAATTAATACAGTACTAAGTTATGTAGTTTGAGAAATATGATGTGTATAGATAAGATCATTGTAGATAAAATAATAATTTTAGTGACAGAAGAAAATGAAAACTTAGAATTTTACTTTGTATAGTTTTATATTATCTGAAATTTTACAATGAGAATGTACTAGTCTATCATTACTTAAAAACAAATAAACAAAGATATCTGAGTTATTTTCCTGCCTCCACCATATACCTGGTCATGACTCTGGCCAAGTCAATAAATTGCTTTACATCTCAATTTTCTCACTGCAGGATGATATAACAAACAATAGCTATCAGTTTTTAATCTTGTAATACAGCACTAAGTTGTGTTATAACATAAAGTTTATAATTCAAATCAGTGTGTCCAAGAGGTTACTTATTATACCCTTTCAATCTATTTTTCATGCTACAGACGGAATAATTTTTCTAAAACATACATGCCCCCATTTAACAACATCAAATGGCTCCTCACTGCTCCCACCAGGATAAGCATGAACTGCCTTCGTAATATCGTCCCACCATTTACCCCTCACCCCAGACAACTCCAAATCCAGCTAACCTACCTAACCACCACGTCAAACATAACATTCTTCCTCAAATATAACCATGGGTGCCCCATTTTGGAAGTCAATAATGTCCATTTGAACCCCTATTCATTTCTGAAATTCCAGCTTAGATGCCACATTTCCTGGAAGCATTATTTAATGCTTTCTCACTACCCGATCTATTCAGTACCTCCTCTGGTGCCAGAGATCTCATGATATGTATTAATATGATATATTTTATACTTACTTGTTAAAGTCTCTGACTCTATTTTAAGTTTCCTGAGAGTCTATTTGCCATTCTTATCAATGTAACTCAGGGACCTAGCACATAGTACGTGGCCAATAGGTACTTACTGAAGACTGGATTTCCCTGGCTGAGCAGCTGATTAAAAAATTAATTTTGCCCAGAAACTAAATCTACTAGTGAGAGATACTGTGATTTTGTTCAGATTCATTGAAGTAGTTTTTGCAGACACTGATGAGACAGAATAACTGTTAATATTGAAAGAATACAGATTGTGTTGTCATGGAAACTACTTTTGAATCTAGAAGATGCTCATAAATTCAATGCTTTAATAATTTAAATTAAAATTATAAATGAAAAGGTAACCTAGGAACTGAATTCAATTGGATGAGGTTAATAGGGAAAGAATTATTAACTTGATTAAAGAAAACTCGAAATCCATAACTGTTGTTCTTTCAGATGATCACTCTATAAGAGCTTATAAAAATTTTACACTCCTCTTAAAATTTTAAGCCTAACACCATTATTCTTTTTACCTGGTTTGAACTTTTACTGATACTAGGATAAACTATATCCTAGTCTCTTAGCAAGCAAAAATCAAGGAAAAACACGCTAAAATAATTACATTCTAATAATATATTTTGGACATAAATCTCATTTATCTCCTATATGACTGACAACAAAGTTAAGCATATTTGATCAAGATGCCACTTATAGAAAACTTAAAAGCAGTAACCTAAATCTCTACAAAACAAAGTTCTATAGTATAAAATGTTACCAAAGTCTCCACTGAGAACAATCAAAGGAGAAGAAAAAGACAAAACTATATGAGATTTTATTTATCCAAACATGTTACTAAATTAGAATCAAATTAAAATAGATTTTAAAAGAAAATCTTTTAAAATCTCTATAAAAATAGGAGAAATTTATGCTCAGAGTCACTGAGGATGGTCTAGTTTACAACCCTCACAGTTTGGGTTGATCATCTCAACACCAATCTAAAGACATAATCAGATACCACAGGGGCAGGGTGGGGGGAGAGGTTCCAGGGTATATTACAAACAAAACAAGAAGAAAAAAGACACCAAAAAAAGAAAGTGATAACAGTAGCCGCATTTTTATCTCTTTCTAGACTATCATTTACCATCTGAGCATCACAGGCTATATATACATACAGGTGCAAAGAGCAATCAGGAAGGCTTCAGCTTTTCTCATCTCTAAGATCCACTCAGTAACAGGATTACAGAGAAATGTTCAGAACAATATTAATGGCTAGTGATGATTTTTGTTAATAGCATAAAACTAAGAAATTTTGTTGTTCTCTTGGTAAAATGTAAAGTAAATGTTATCTACAGTTGATGAATAAAAATTTTTAAAGTTAAGGCTGATCTCATTATCAACAATTTTATTTTATTCACCTCTGAATAACAGGGTCAAGAGAGAAGACTGCTGTGAAAGGGAAACACGCATGAGTGGATCTGCACATAAAACCTTCCTCAAGAGTGTGAGGGACGGTTGAATCAAACATTCTATAACCTGGCCAGAAAGGAAAACACACAGTTATTTTATTTTTACCAATTCTTAGGTGAGATTTTTTTTTTTTAAATACTATCCTCTTCTAAATGTATGTTTTTGTCATTAAAATTATTTGAAACTAAGTCCAAATAAATACTGAGAATTACTTTCCATTGAAAATAGGATTTCTATATACTTCTACTTATCTTACAGAAATTTTAAGATTAGTTTCTCTTTAGAGAGACTGCATTTTAGAAATTTTTTTAAAAGAATGAGATAAGGCTATTACTTAAGATTTAAAGCCCAAGTATGCATCCAAATTCATCTAAATTCAATTTCAGAACTGATTAATAACATCTATCTAAAAAAAAATACATCTAAGCATTAGTCTTACCTTGCCATCTTGACCCACACATTCATTTAAATATTCAATTATCTTGTCAGTTAAGCATAACTTTTTCACCACAGCATGCATTTTAATATCTACATACAAAAAAATTAAAGTTAAAACACATTTTCATAGTTTTAAAACATATTTTGAGGTCTGGGGATTTAGCTCAGTGGCACCGCACCTGCCTTGCAAGCACAAGGTTCTGAGTTCAATCCCTAATACCAAAAAAAAAAAAACCCTAAAACATATTTTGAAATGTATGTCAAGTATCCATACAACTTTCAAACCATTAAAAATAACTGTGCATAGGGTTGAAATTAGAAGATAAAAGTTCTAACTTTTCACTTTGTATATATCTTTATAAAGTAAAAACATTTGGGAACTAGCACATTTACTTCAATAACATAAGACACAAAACTGAAAAAGAATATTTATGGGAGCTAGTTTAGACATTTCTTCTTTTATAAATACATCACCGCAAAATATTTAGATATAGCATGCAGCATGAACATTTTTCTATTTATAAAATATCTCAATCCAAAAACTATTCATAGCAAATATGAAGGGAAAGATATTTTAATGTATTCTCTAATTCCTGAAGAATATGAACTCTTAATAAGCATATATTCATATATTACATTTGTAGTAAAGTCATAAGAATTTTAAATACACATACATAATGCTACCAGACCCAGAAACTCTAGTACTACTAGAGGGGAAGTCTCTTACTTTCAATACTTACAGGAAACCAAAATTATGTTATATATTTGAAATATTAACAATGTTGAAATAATAAGCTTCTAAAGACTTTTTAACCAAGGCTCAACATTTTTTAAAGCCTTATTTTGTGTAGTCTTTATTGCTGTTATTAGCTCTACAGATTTGTTATTGTGAACAGTGCTGTATCAACATAGGAATGTAGGTATCTCTTCAAAACACTGTCTTCTTTTCCTCTAGATATATATTCAGGAATGGGATAATGGAGCATATAGGAGTTTTGTTTTTAAGTTTTTTGAGGAACTTCCCTACTTTTTCCCATAATGGTTGTACTAATTATATTCCTAACAACAATGTATAAGAGTTCCCATTTCTCTACATCCTTGCCAGAATGTGTTCCTCTTTGTGATACTTTTTCCCCTATTTTTTCTCTTTTTGATAACTAGCATTCTAACTGGAGGGAGCTGACATCTCACTATGGTTTTCATTGCATTTTCCACGATGGTTAGTGATGCAGAGAATTTTTTCATCTATTGGCCATCTATATGTACTTTTGAGAAATGCATACTCAGGTCTTTGGCTTGGTTTTTAAATGAACTGTATCAATCAAAAACATTAAAATTTTAAAAATACAAATATACTGAACATGTTCCTTCAGATTACTCTTTCATCCCAATATCCACTAATATCAAGATAAAAAATGTTAACCATAAAAATCTTTGTGTCATGTAAGTGCAAAGTTATCTTTTCTCATAAATATTAAAATATATATAACAGACACAGGGAAAAAAAACTAAGAGGATGAAAGTCCACAGAAGAATAACACTATAAGTAAAGCTAACATTATATTTTCTAGTTGTATTTAAAAACAGACCCTTAAAGAAAATGCACAGCTACAATGTATTATTTCTACCTACCCACAAATGTACTGTTTGACTAATTTCTCAAAGATATACAAATTGAACATCACATACTAGGTAAATTGAGATGGAAACATAATTTACTTTCAGAAATTTATTGATATCTTAGAAGATAATTCTATCAAGTGACGATCTAGGTTAAATCTAGGTTAGGTTAAATAATGATAATCTACTAGTCCAGCAAACTTTTTCTATAAATAATCAGACAGTAAATACATTAGACTTTGCTGGAGACAATATGATCTCTGTTGCATATTATTTGGTATTGGTTTTGTTTCTTTAACAATTCCAAAGATGTGAAAACTACCTGTAACCTGAAGGCTGAAGAAAACAAACAGGCCACAAGCTGCATCTAGCCTATAAATCACAGTCTGCTCCCCGATGACACTAATCCACACAACAATCTCAAATCCTATGTCAGTAGTACAGTGATCACTTTCCTTAAAGATGGTACCTTGCATAATCACAGCTAACTGTTCTGCGGCTGACTTTCTCAAAGCAAGATCAACATCATCTGAGGTGAAGACTTCATATACCTTTTCAATAGTCTCCAACTACAAACCAAAAAAAGAAAATTACATTTCATGTGCTTCCAATCCCACAATAAAATTTTACAGTTCAGGTAATAAAAAAAAAGCTCAAAAAAGTCTACTTACTTAGGTAACTGATATATTTACATATAAATGTACAACAATGATACACAAGGTCAGAGAGGAACTTAGGGGAAAAAAAGAGCCATGATGTCAAATAATGTGCACTTTTGCTAGGAAGTCATTCATAACCCAATAATCCAATAGCACCTTAAGACCATCTTAAAAAACACTCACGTTTCCTAATATCTCTACTAGTCATACCACCCTCAAAAGGGCCATTTAGATTTATGACTCAGGATATCTTTGTGTTGCTAGAAGCCACTAGCTGGAAATTCCCTGGTTCTCTCCCTTCTCTTCCTCTTAAGAGACCCTGGAGCAAATAGGTGCAGTAAAGTGACAGTTAGGGGCTGAGAAACACCTAAAAATTAGAATGGTATACTTCTGGGTATGTCTGTGAAGGTGTTTCCAAAGAAGACTGACGTGAGACAGTACACTGACCAGGAGAAACACCCTGAATGTGGACAGAACTGCCCAATAGGTGAGGAGCCTAGATGCAACAAAAGTAGAGGAAGAAGAGCTCAAGAACATAGTCTTAGAACTCTCTGTTTCCCAGTTTCCATGAGGTGAGCAACTTTGCTATGTCTTTCTTCACCACAGCCCCATACAATGCAGCCAGCTGAGCATGAACTAAAATCTCTGAAACTTGTGAGTCAAAATCAATCTTTCCCCCTGTGTTTTTCTTAGATAGTCTGTGACAGGGATGGAAAGGTGACTAATAGTCAGGGATTGTTGGCCTCACTTCATGGCAGGACAGAGTATGAGACAGCAAAACCAGCAACAGGGAAGGAACAAAGATGACATTCTTACTTTCATCCACTGCTTCTTCTAATTCTACTACAGACTCACAAAAGAGCCAGAATTTCCACATTCCCTTCTTCCTTCAAACCACACACATATGGCAAAGTAATGACTATGAGTGGGTTAGTACTCAATGATCTCCCCAGTTGGACCTTGTATGCAGGAGGTCGAAGATTCTCCAATCCTCTTCACAGGGCTGTCATACAGCCCTAAATATTAGGTCAAAAACACCAAATACGTTTACCCATTAAAAAAAAAAACATGTTTTTCCGGGGATGTAGCTCAGTGGTTCTGCCACATGCCTCGCAAGCCCAAGGTCCCGAGTTCGACCCCTGGTACCAAAAAAATAAATAAATTTTTAAAAAAACAAAAAAACATGTCTTCACCATGCCTGTAATCCCAACATTCAGAGAGACTGAGGCAAGAAGATCACAAGTTCAGATCAGGGCAATTGAGGCCCTGCCTCAAAATATATTCAAAAAACACTGGGCATGTAGTTCAGTCCAAAGGCCCTAAATTCAATCTCCAGTGCTACAAAAACAAAAACAAAAAACTCAAAGCATTATGTTACATGTGGCTTTACAGTATTATCACAGTATTATCATCAGTTTTGGAAAGCTAATATACGTGTAAATAACAACTGCCAGATTGTGAACTTGAAGTGAAATGTGAAGCTATACAGCACAGAAATGAATCAAGGAAGATTAAGGACAACCTTCTTTATAGAAGTGTGTAGCATTCCAGTATGATGTAGGTGCAGTCCTGGTTAAAAACAGGGAAATGGACACTAAATCTCTAAAGGTATATAAAAAGCCAAAGATTTAGAAAAAAAATTAACAAAAATTCTTAGAACTATTGTAAAATTTAAGAGAAACTGCCTTTGTGTACTGTATTATTTTTTCTCCTGTTAATTAAGAAGCTGAAACTTTTGTCATAAGAGTTTTTCCTTTTTTGCTATTATAGGCATTCCAAGATAAAAAGAGCTCTCAACAGTATTTAAGTCTGTGACATTTGTTTTTAAAAATCATCACAAAATTTCTTTTCACTATTTCACCTTATCCTGTATTTAAGATACTATTCAAAATAATTTGTGTTATAATACAGTGGCATGTAATAGGCACATTTAATAAATGCATCCAGATGAACTCAGAACATAATTTCACAATGTAGAGTACTAACCATTATACAATCACAGTGAACTACACAAGAGACCTCAAAACACAGTTTCAAATTTGACATGAACTTGACACTTACATGGAATATACAACCTGAACAATGTCACATTAAAATATGTGATATACAAATGTATGAAGCAACCACATAGTTTAATAAACTCAAAAGTTATAGTCACCTTAATAACCAGTTCTCTTCTGTCATCCAATTTGAGTTCAACAGGTTTTTTCACAATAAATAAATTAGTAACTCTGGAGAGAACTCTGGCATCTATTAAGGGGCGCTTTGTATCAGCCCCTTCTTCACTTGTAAGATGAAATGCTAAAAGCTTTAATGCTAGTGAACGGACTCTAAAAACACAAAATAAGTTAGTATTTTGGAACATTTAAATGTCTACAAAAAAGGCTATAATTGTAAAGAAACACTGTATATCAACAAAGTATAATAATTATCCATATTTATACTGCCCTTACTAATATTTTCCTTTTTCTATTAAAAATCTTTCATCTATAACTCAAATTCAACTTTATAACACTTATAAAACAAATGTCAGAAACAAAGAATAATCAATAATTACAAACGAGACAGAAACTAAATATCACACTCAACTTCAGTAAATCAATCTGCAAATTCAAATATAGTGACTTCAAAGGTAGTGTTCTAACTCAAGCATAAAAAGACCCATGACCAAATAATCAGCCAAACCTCTAGGGTACTACAAGTACCCTATACTAATAACTGAAGTATAATATCACTACAATGTATGAAAACATTTATATTAGATTCTTCTCAAATATGAGAATTTCCATCAAAATATTGAGAATGGATTAGATTAAAATCAGTTAAATGAGGAGGTGAGAGATTTTTAAGAAAAGAGTAACTACAGCATGCCACTAGACAATGACAGAAAAACAGAAAACCACCAAGTGTACAAAGGTCCCTGGTGGAAGGTATTAGGATAATCATGTATCTGTCTTTCCTCTGCTTAAGTTATCTTGACCCTAAACTTGTTTCTCTTCTCAATAAGAAAAAAAATCTAACCATTATTTCCAAAAGAGAGTAAAAGAAGATTCATATTACAAGTTAATGTAGAGAAAAGGAAAATAATGTATTTCTCCTTTCCTTTTAGCTAAAATGACACACCAATAATTGTCAAGGAAAGGACCTTTTTATTTTCCCAAGTAATGGCACAAACTGAGTGAGTGCCTGAATAACTGCTTTTTGAAGTAGCTGGCCCAATATACTTTCCTGGAAAACTTAATTTGCAGAATAGAGCTCTAGAAAAGACTCATTCTAGCAAGCTAATAATTTCTAAATAGAAAAGAAGATGGGCACACATTATAATTTTTACAAACTATTTATCTCCATTACTCTCTGACATGCCTACAGCACTATGTTAACACAGACTGATCTGGCAAGGGATAACTAGGCTGTCAAGTGGATGAAGTGCTTCAGGAAAGTTTCTAAAAGATCTTTTATCTGCTCAGTTTCACACATTTGGTTACCTTGATCTAATAATGCAGAATAACCTCCCTTTTAAACGCTTTAGCTACTCTGTTTCTGATTGATATAATTACTATACTTTCCTAGAATGTTTCCTTTAATCTTTTATATTCAAAAGATTATGCTGTACTCACGATGGCTTTTTCACTAGCAAAAGTCGCAGCATGAACTTTAACCGTGTTGTACAGGGAAGAATCCCTTCCCCTGCCTCAGAATTTGCTTCACTTAAAAGGAGAATGGAGTTACCCAAAGGATCTTCTGGGTCAGCATAGCCCTAATAATTTTTTAAAAGAAAAATTGTTTAACTTTATTCATGTTAACTTTTCAACAAGAAAATAATAATTGTATTAGCCTATCATAAAACTCATAAATTTCTTTCAATTAAATTGAATAGTCACTTTTCAGAATAATCTAAATTAGATAAGGTTTCTAAATAAAACCACATTGATTAAAAAAGGGAACAACTATATTTTAAAAATAATACTAGAAAACTTCAAAAAATTTACCAACCTTCTTGACATTTGCTGATTTCTCTATTTTCCAAGATTCTATTAGTAGCACCCTCCCATCAACAAGGCATTTTATAGATTTGGAGACAACCCCTGTCTCCAAAGTACAAAGATGGAATGCTACAAACACTATATATAAGACACCAGGACCCATATGCCTTAAGGACCAAGGCAGGGGCTTTCCCGAAAAATGAGTGTGCCCGTGATAGTGTCTCCAAACTGTGTCTTTCATACAAGGGAAGTACAGACCTAAGCTTCCTGCTAAAATACTTTGCTTCCAAGTGATTATTAGTCAAGGTATCATTTGCATCATACATATGTAGAATTCAGGGGCTGGGGATTTAGCTCAGTGGTTCTGGTGCCTGCCTCACAAGTGCAAGGTCCCAAGTTCAATCCCCGGTACCAAAAAAATAAATATATAAAGAGAGTCCTTTGAAGCACATGTGCAGAATTCAGAGTGCAAGTTAGTTATGCACTATCTGCTTAAAAAGCACTATCAGCTTTCTCTAAAAACCTTTACATAGGTTGAGTTCTATTTTTCACAGTCTACAATGTCTGCACCTCACTTCTTAACCACCCACGCAGATACATACAGCCTACATGGACAAATTAGCTATCCTTGTTTCACTTTCTGCCAGAAACAAGACAGCCATCTACTTCCTGTTCACATATCCACAGTCCCATCACAGCTTCTCTTCATTTTTCTGACAACATGACAGTTTGGCTGTTTGCAGGCTTTTAATCAATCACACTCAGTCAAAGATAAATGGTTATGGTAAAAGGTGAATTGCAGAATACCTGTAGTACTGGAATGACTGGACACAGAGACTCAATAAACTTGTTCCAGGTCAGTGCTGTCATCATCAAACGTCCCTGAAGCAGATACAACAGAATGGCCTTGGCAGCAGCATTCACCTGCTCAACAAAACAAACACATAAAATGAGATGTCACACTAACTCATCTCACACACCAGCAGCATTTCATAAAATCTGGAAAGGTGCTATAATTAATGTCTCATTCTTCAAATGATCCTATTTCCAAAGCATCATCTTACATTCTCTTCTCAAACAATTTTTCTCTTAATAATTTCCACATTTTCACCTTTATATAATTTGGAATCATCTCCTTTCAATAACCATTCTTTAGTTCTCTATATCTTAGATGAAAACCATAAACTGTTTGACTTGAATTCTTTTAAATCAGTATCTTTTGCATTTTCAATCATATATTTTAACATTTCTTTTCATATAAATAATAATGAAACCAATATACCCATAAGACAGATTTCTTTTAGTTTGTCATTGCACTATCCAGTTTTATTAGAATGTTACCTTGATTTAGCTAAGTACAGTATTCTTTTGTACTCATTTTTAATACACCATACCTCATTTCTGGGTTCTTGGATACCAAATGCAGAGATTTCATATAGAACTTTTGGGTGAAGTAGGAAATGGATTCCATTACAAAGGGAAGACACAGGTACAGTGACATTATGAACACCTAAACATTCCTGTAAAAAAATTTAAAAATATTTTTAAAAATTAGTGCTATTAATTTTTACAAAAAGATTCTGTTTCTGGGCCAGGATTTAGCTCAGTGGCACTGCACCTGCCTGGCAAGCCCAACGTCCTGTGTTCGATTCCTGGTACCAAAAAACACAAACAAACCAAAGAAAGATTTTGTTTCTTCTGTTTATAACTCACTTCCAATTTTAGCATTCCCTTTATTAAAACTTTCTTAATAGAAGGTGAAAAAGATTACCTAGCCATATGTCTGTATAAGATATATTACTTTCTGTCACTAAGCACAGTCATGATAAATTAAACCAAATGGCTGAAATAACCATTATCTCTTAAAGCTGATAGGTATAAAGTATATAAACAAAATAATAAACTTATCCTAAGTTTACTGAGGTTTGAGAAAGACAATCAAATTTCAAATCAAAATACAAAGTATTGGGTAGAGGAAGGATAACATACGAAATACAAGTAATGGCTCCATATCATCTGTTAGAACAATTATCACAAAATCTTTTCTCAATTTGTGAGAGAGAACAGTATTTTGTTAGAGGGTATTTAAGGTGAGAGAGAAAAAAGCTACTAGAAATATTAATATGAATACAATACAGAAGGTGAAAATACAAGTTACATAATTGTTTTCATCCTGCAAATTACTTCCAACCACTGCCAATAATTATCTATAACAATTATATAATGTATACGTTTTTACTTACACATTTATATATGTATTTATTTTTATTATATATTTTAATATATATTTATTCATATTTTATATGTCTTTACTTACATTTATTTTTTCTCCATAACTATTAACTTCATGCAACAATCTTGAATTCAAAGCATTTGAAAGAGCTAAAGCTTAGCCTTAAGGTTTAAAAATAGTTGTAATTTACTTCCTTAAAATATTAACTCTCTGAGCCTCAGTTTATCCACCCATACAATGGGAAAAATATCATCTAGAAGGCCATCTCTAAGAGATCTCTAGTCTCTCAGGATCTTCTCCATGCTGATGACTAAAAATTTTACATATAACCTTGGCCTTACACTCCAAAGGTAGTGTGGTGTACTACATAAAAATATGGACTCTGGAAGCAAACTATCTGGGTTCAAAGTCCAATTTGAGTTGAATAACCTTAGAGAAACTCATAGAGTGGTCATAAGAACTCATCGAAATAACATACTCATAAAAAAACCTTGTATTGCTCAGTGCTAGCTCTCTCTATTGTCTTCATCATTATTTTTTTTTCTCATCATTTTTTTTCCCCATTAACTTTATTGGTACATTTTAGGTATAAAATACAGTTACATTCATCATTGGGATATTGTACCATTACATGAGTCTCTTGGGTCTTATTTTTTTTCCCCATCCCTTGCCCACACTTCACCCCCTCCACCCTTCCCTATTTGCAAAGACCTTGTTTCCATTTTTCTCCTCTTCTCATATTTTTTCCTTTCTCCTTTTTCACTTCCCCTACCCCTCCCAATTCCCCTGCTCTTTTAGACCTATTCTTCCTGTTATACAATATCAGTTATACATTTTTTAAATTACAATATTAAGATCTAGGAGACATTAAAATTTAAAAGGATATAGAGAGCATATTACAAAAATCTTTTTTGAAATAAATTTGACAACTTCTAAGAAGTACCTTGGAAGACAAATTAATGAAACTAACTCTGG